CTCCTGCATCGTGCCCGCGGGCGCCCCAGTTGGCGGCACAACCGCCGCGGCTCCCCTCAAGCAGGGCCTTATATCGCCGCGACTCACTTGCCCTCAGCATATGTGTAGGCGGGCCCGGCGGCGGCCATGGTGCGCAGCGCGCGGCGGCGCTGGGGGGCGGGGGGCGCGGCGCGGCCGAGGGGCGCGGCGGGGGGCGCGTGACCGCAGGTGGCCCTGATGGGCGTGGGCCGCATGATTGCAGATGTGATCATTTTACTGTGGCCATGGTGGGTGTTCGTGGACGAAACGCGCATGGTGGATGTCATAGTGACGCTACTCGTTCGGGTGCGGAGAAGAGTTTATTACACTGCACGTAGGTCGAAATGGTAAGATGTTTAATGCAGATGTAAGCTGCAGGTCGACATTGCTATTGCGACCGGATCGGATGGATCGGAGCCATGACTGTGCACTGTTGGAATGATCTGAATTGCCTCCAGCACGCAGCTCTGTGATGCTACCGAATCAGGGGCTCAGGGGTCACGCAATTATTAAGCAATTGCTTTTTTCCCGCATACGCCTGCAACGCACTGCGCATTGGCGTGTTTGACTGGGTCAAGGTACCACACATTGTGCCTGTATCTCCGTCGCTTCATGTTGCCTGTTCCAGGTCTGGATGAGGTCTGCATTCTTTGTCAGTATTGATTCATTATTGACAGATGATTACAGATGGGGTCAGCGGAAACTGTGGCACACTGGAAAAGATCACGTGGCAAAGAAGCGCTCGGGTGGGTGCGGGCGGCAATGCGGTAACACGAACTCGCCCACAGCTTGCATGAGCACACTCCACCCAAACCCATGGTGAGCTTCTCGTGCGCAGCGCGGTGGGGGGTGCTGGAGGTGGAAATGCAGCGCCGTGGCTGCCATTGATGCTTGCAAGCGAGGAGAAGCGCGGCAAAGCAGGTACGGGGCAAAATTGCAACCTCTTGTGTGCAGACATCCCGCAAACAGATCACGTGTTAGCCGTATCCAGCCCTGTGGGCCCGAGACCAGGCGAAACGAATGAACATGACAGCAAACACTCAGCACATGCGCAAGGCGCGAGGAGTGGGGCAGTAATGCTGCTACGCTCCGAATGTCAGTTGCTACAATCCGTGCATGCTGCTCTCTGCAAAACATAACACGCTGTGCCATCGCAGCAGCGGTTTATTGGAGTGCAACTCCCAAGTGTTCGCGCGCATAGATACGCACAAAATGTCGGAGCGCTTCGCTCGTAATTGATGCGCAGACAGTGCAATGCTCTACTTCCCATTCCCTCGAAACGGCGTACACAAGGTGTGGGGTGCACTGCAGGTCAAGGCCAAGGCAAAGGTGCCAAGATCAAGCGCATGCATACATCCAGACGAAACAGGCGACATGGCCGCAGGCGCCACAAGGAAGAGGCACCACAGCCGGAAAAGCGCCGCGCGGTCAATCCCCGCATGATGGGGTTGCCTGACCTGCCTAAGCAAGCTAAGCATGAGAGAACGCGGGGCGCCAGCAGGCAAATCGCCGCACGCATGAAAAGGCCGCGAAAATCCGGCGCGACAGGTGCACCGCCTGTGTAGCTCGGGGGGTTGCAGTTTGCCGGTGAGGAAGATCACGGCGCCTCTAAGAGGCGATAGACGCTAACCCTCGGCTCGTCTCGTCTGGTGGGCGCGATGGCCCTCCCTGTCTGTGTCTGACTCTAAGCCTGCCTGTTGCCTGCTGCCCTGCACATCGCAGGTGTACGCCACCCGCTAGCCAGCGGGCGGTGTACCCGAGTACCCCATCGGTACCCGTCAGCAGCTGCCGCGCAGCTGCTGAGCTGCACAGCTGGCGCTCCTGCTCCATCCGCAGGTGGTGGCTGGTGGCGAGAGAGGGGGTACGGCCGCGCCGCCCCCGGCTGGCGCTGCGGCGCGCTTAGTTGGCGGTGGTAAGGGAGACGCCGTAGATGTTGAGGTTGTTGACCGGCGACAGCAGCCGCAGGGTGGCGCCGAGGTGCTGCGCCTGGAGCGCCTTGACGCCGTTGTAGAAGGCTGTGGGGTCCAGCGGCGTGGGGGCGTTCTTGCGGGCGTAGTTGACAAACCTGGGTGGGTTGACAAACCGGGAAGTTAATTCAGGGGTGACACAAGGGAGCAGGCTGCGGAGCGGGAGAGGCGTTGTGCACGGGCGCACGGGCGCCGCGCATGTATGCTGCCAACACACAGAGCGTATAGCCGTTTGCAGGGCCGACGTCTGGGGAGGACGCGCGCGAAAAACGCACCAGGTCGTCATTGTGTTCTTGCGGATGGTGTCAATTGCATCAGCGTGGTACACGAAGAGCTGGGAAGCGCCCGCGCTGCTGGAGATGGCAGGAACACGCGTGGGGCAGGCGCCTGCGTGGGGTGAAAGGGGAAACAGATGGGGTCCAAGTGTGTGCTTGTTTGTTTGTTTGTTTGTTTGTGAGAGGCAGCACAGGCCTGGTTGCAGCCCACCAGGGGGCTGCAGGCTCAGACACTGGGACCGCCATCCCTCGCGTGCTGAGACAACAAGAATTTTTGGTCGGCCAGACAGCATGCAAAGTCAGCATGCGCATGCCCGGCCCCAGCCGGCAAAAAGCGCATGCACGTGGAAATGTCGCTCATCATCAGCAAAGGGCTCAAGCCGCCAGCAGCAGCGGCACGCAGCTGCGGTGCTGGGTAGAACCGCGCTCACCCTGGTTGCCAACAATGGCCACAGCCTTGCCGATAAGGGGGCCCTGCAGGATGGCGTAGTTGACAGTCTTCCGGACCTTGTCCTCGATGGGGGTGCCCCACCTGCGTAAACAGGTTCGGTCGGCCAGGGTGAGTGTTTGTCAGGGTGTGATGGCCGCCGCACAGTGGTCAGGTGAAAGAGGTCGTTCTGCGCGTTGCACTCAAGGCATAATGCAGCACCGATGCGCACACGTGGACTGCCAGGGCTGCAGCTACGCGTGGCGCCGGGGCGCGACAGCTCATGGGGGATGGCTCGCCATCCTCGGGTGGGCAGGCGGCAGGGCAGCAAGGGCGGGTTGCAGGCCGGGGCGTGTGCATGTCCGGCCCACCAGTAGTGGAAGAACGCCTTCACAACAGCCTTGGGCAGGGCGTCGGAGGTGAAACCGTAGTCGGCAAACTGCGGTGGCAGGGGGTCATGGCGGGGGGGTATGGCGGGGTGGCGCAGCGGTGAGGGGACGATCCGGCTTAAGTGATGAAAGGCCGGCATGTTGCTGTGCGGGGCCGCTACTGGCTTCCATTCTCTGCGGGGACGCTAGGCCGGGGCGGGGCGAGACGGGTCCCGTGCACGTGCTGGAGCCCACATGCTGGTCACGCGCAACATTGCTGGTATCACGGCTCAACCCCAACTCTGATTGCCTCACGTTGTCGATCATGAGACGCATGTGGCCGCAGCCTGCGGGTTTGGCGATGGGTGCAAAGGGATCAAGGATGCGGGGTAGTCGCAACTCGGCCGGCGTGGGTGGGCATGCCCACAGCAGTGGCACACGATGCAGGCATCACAACAGCCAGCGCCCACGCACAATTCAGTGGTCCCCGGCGAAAGACAACGGCGCGGGTGCACGACGAGCGCAATGCACTGCCCAGCGCCACTCGCCATCAGCTGAATGAAAGAGTCACTGCGCACGATGAGGAAAGGCTCACCCTGGTTCTCGCCCTTGGAAAGGGCAGCGAGCCAAGCCTCCTGCTCCACGGGGCTGGAGGGCTCCCTGTCGATCAAAGGAGGCGGCGGAAGGCGGTCATGAGTCAGCTGTATGCGTCCAAAAGCCATGGTGCGCCGCTCGCACAACGTATGCGGTTGGTAGTGGTCTGCAGTGCTGCGCCGCTTTTCCGTGCCACACCCAATGCAGGGGGTTGTGGCGATTACTGGTTCATGCACGGGATCATGCATCCTTGCAGTGCCGAGCGTCACATACACCTTCTCACAAGCGCAGGTTTTTGCCCCGCAGCTGTCCAGCACAGACTCATATGGCACTGTCACCCCTCACCCCCTTCAACACACATGCATCAATTCACACATGCGCGCCTTGCGCATGCATGCACACATGATGGAGCTTGTACACACGCCTGCGCGTGCGCCAACTCACTGGTCGGGGAACGCGACGGGGGACCCCAAGCCGGCAGCCTTGATGGTAGAGAAGACCTTGAGCAGCTTCTCGTCGCTGGTGTGGTAGTAGAAGCGCTTCTTGGCGCTGAACTGGCCCTTGATGTAGGCAGCAAGCACGGTGTCAGCCAGCTCCTGGGGGATTGAGTGGGAGGGGGCCAGTCAGACGGTGATGAGGGTGCTTGAGGAGTGGCCATGGGGTTGGGGTGTCAGGATGAAAAAGGCAGGGGTGTGCTGATGAGAGGCTGGGGCATTTGGGCTAGCAGGCGGTGGCTGGTGCGCCAGGGCACTGCGTGGGATCTTGCAATTCAGGTTTGGTAGCTGGCAGCTGGAGCGGAGGGAAGGGGCCCCTCGGCTTGCTTCCTATGCCCCTGCGCTGCCCTGGGGCGCGTCTGAGCTTCGGCCCGCTGGCGCGGTGTGCATGCCTCAGGCGGCGCACGCCCAGCAAGGAAACGGCGGCCCCTTTTGACTTCACACAATTTCAAGCTCAGCGAGAGAACTGAGGTCGCAAGCAAGCAGCGGGGATACGCACCTGGGTGAGGGTCTGGCCAGTGAGGTTGAGGTAGACAGCGAAGCCGCCGATGAACTCGGCGATGTCACCGCCGGGGGTGCCGATGACGGGGTACTCGTGGCGCGAGTCGACGCAGGCGGTGGTGGCGGTGCGGGTGGGGACATAGGTCACGCGGTTGACGTCCAGGCTGAAGTGCTGCCTCACGCCGTCCTGTGGTGAGCGAGGATCGGAGTTTGGTTTGTGAGGTGACTTGTTTCGTGTGGCTTTCCAATTGGTTCACAGGGCTTTGCATTCAGATGCAGATTGGTTCATTGGTGCGAAAGGTGTTGGGGCCGCCGCCATGAGATGGGGCCGCCGCAGAGCTAGAGGCGGCATCCAGATCATGCAGGCCTGCCCCATCCCCCAAAGGGCGATTGGCTGGGGGCAACAAAGCAATTGATTCTGGGTGCGACCGTCACAGGGGGGCGGCCCGCGGGGTTCGATGGAGGCACAACCGAGCGAGGCAAGGGGCGGAAGGGCGCCGCAGTTCGCCGGCAAACCTCACCGTGGTGTAGGCGGTGCTGGAGACGTTGACGCCATTGGCGGAGAGGGCGACATCAACATTGACGACGCGGCACGCAGCGGCCGGGCGGGCGGCCGCCAGGAGCGTGGCGAGGATCAGCGCGGCGGCGGCGGCCGCGGGGAGGCGGGTGGGGGCCATGGCAGGTGTCTGGG